TGCCCAAGCGTGGTTCGGTGGCTTGTTTGCCGCAGCAAAGGCCGTTTCTGGGTTCTGCAGGACCAAGGGTCGAAACAGTAGCGCTGAATGCTACAAACGAAGACAAGATGCTCGCGGCCGCGGTGCTGGCTTTGATGAACAAGATTGCAAAGGCTGCATAGAAGATGAGAGCACGGCCGAAGCATCAGTTGAAAACATGCAAAATGGCGTCGACCAATGGCTTGAAACCATGGTTACAAGCAGCGGTGGTAGAATTCCCCCATAATTTCTTATTCTTGGAGCTGAGAGGGTCTAGGTGGTCTGCACCGGGCCAGATACCTGTTTGCCCAAACAGTCGCCTGGCACCAGTTGTTCTTGCTGCTCTCTAGTAGAGTAAGCTTGACCACTGAGGCTTTGTATTACTTAGTTAGAGTTATAGACAACTATAGAGTTCAATTTTAAACAACGTGTAGTCTAATACCATTGCAATACCCCTTCCTTTCACCTCAACTCCATGCTATGAGCGAGTAATGTCATAGTTGCAGTGGACGCTGCACAGCTCTGGGGCAATAGAATTAATTGCTAAAGAGAACGTGTAGATAACTACTTCTTCCAGAACTCCAAAGACGTCTTAAATATATCATCCATCAGCCTCTTGTAAGTAAACCTCCACTTCTTTCATCACATTGATATTCCGATTGCATGTTGCGTTGTAAGCGGTCTCTCCAGTGTAAACATTTGCTCCCTTGTCTGCCTTGTGTAAATAGTGTTCTCTGGACTGGGACTAAGTATCTGCATCTGAAGCCCGTTCAGGATTACTTCGAAATATGGACTTATTGGATCAATTACTTCGGAAGCTAAACATGGAGCGTACGCTACGCACCCCAGATACGGCAGTCCGGCTTCTTACAAAGAAGGGACTAAGGCAGGGTAGGCATGCCGCGATGATAGAGCAATTTGGTTCGAGGATTAGCAGGATGTTTTGTTTGGACTGGACAGCTATACTCGTGTGTTAGATAATAGTGTCTATTATAGCATGTCACTTTTGATGGGCGTCTATACCGATATTGCTGTGGGATTGAATAACTGCTCAGATAGACTGATCCTCCAGAACTAAATAAATAATAGCTGCAGCACAGTAGCTGTAAGACAATGGATATATTAGCATATATCTGCCGTCTGAAAGCGTTGATGGAGAATTCACAAAGTGCCCAACCAGAAGATCAACGCCAGAGCCGCCAGAGCTATCTTCGGTTGGGCATTCATTTGCAGGGTGCTGTCCTCTGTTAATAATACAACAAGTGTGTGGTACTCCATAAAGACAATGCTCTTCCTATCTGCATGTTGGTTCCGTCACGTCTTGGGCGAAGGTTAATAGCTGTATCTAGTATTCGATAATAATAGAGGCGAATCTTTCGTGAATTAAACCCACAGTCGAAGGCTGGAACGATATAGTATATTACGTTAAAAAATTATAAATTAAACAGAAATATTAACGTGTAAATTATATTACTTATTAGTAAAGTAAAAATATAAGCATGATACGAGTATTATATAAGCGTAAAACCTGATAATAGAGTATTAGGCTATACCAGTCTAAGAATAATAAAAGACTAGAAAAATAAACTATTTAAGTGTAGTTAATACAGCGCTACGGCCCGCTAGCCAAAGCTATCTCACGACAGCCTCAGCCATCGTTATCATGGAAGTAAACATTGTATGTTGTAGTGCTTTGTGCCTAGAACTCACGCCGAGTCACGGTCGGATTATATATAATTGCGAAAGCCATCTAATATCGTTATCCAACACAACGTCTAAAGGCTTTTTAGTCTTGACCTTAGGCTCAGGCATAAACGTTCCCTTCATGTATATATAATGGTCACTCGTCCTGATGGCTTCAAACCTATCTCTAAATATTAGCCTTTTTCTTCAAGCCTTCTATCGAAACCTTGTCACACGACCGGCGAAACCTCTCAGGCCTCTTAAACCTTTAATCAGTGCCTCATGGACACCGCACGCTTATCTGCAACCGGAATGTTGGGTGTACGCTCTGTGCCTGGCATAAATAGTCTCCTATTATGGGAACATATGAGCTCAAATATTGTAAATAATGGGAGGAGGCTGAGGAGGCTTGTCGATAGCTCGAAATGTTTCATGGATACCGAGCGAGGGCGGGACGTACTGGTGCGAGGTAAAAATACTGCCGATCTCCGGTGGCGCTGTGGCGGCGCACCGTTTACAAAGAAGAGATAGATGCTCAATACGACAATGAGGTGGAAGCCCGTGAACAATACTATGAATGGTACTCTTAAGTTTCGCCGCAACCGGGTCAAGGCAATACCGCGATTTGTGACCGATAGGATGGCAGCAGGAGGTGTTATGGGGGGTCATGGCGTGAGCCAGATTGCTGGTACGGGCATTGGAGGAAATGGGCTGGAAAGACCAGAATGTTCCGGAGGCAAATAGACCAAGACATGTGCAGAAATGACTCGAGGAAGCGGACGAGATTCAGGCTTTACGTTGTCCTAGGTTACTACATGTAACATTGTTCTGGAAGGTGGCCCAGGCATCCATGAAAGAGAGGTGGCTGCACCTACGCCGCCATAATTGCGGTAATAATCTGGTTTGGACACGGAGAGAGTTCGAGACAAGAGCTCGCCTTTTCATTTATCGGGAGAGCAAGTGCAAGCCGGAGTCTGAAGTCGAGAGCGAAACTAACAGTCTGGAGCCAGATGTCCGGTACCTCCAGGAATATGGTGGCGCTTGGCAGTATACATACTTAGTTATGACCTCAATGAGCACTCACAGAGACTATAGGAAATATCGCTAGTATAATTTCAACCACCTCGTTTCCTTGATTGTCGTGCGGGTACGATGGATGAGTACTAATACGCACGCCTTTACAGTTAAAAAGCGATCAAAATGTAACGGGCACGGGGCTTATCCAGCTAGAAGCGTACTGGAAACCAAAAAATTGATTGCATCGCATAGTGTAGGTCTCATAAGGGATAATTATTACAAGTAATAGGCTTAATTTATTATATATCAAAAGGTCTAAGGAAAAGGAAGCTATTAGCTACGTACAACCGGGTATTGTGGCTGGGCCTTTATAGTTGAAGTTGTTGCCCTGGGTGACCCCTATTACGGGCCGCTCACGTGTACGGCCGGCGGCGCCGGAATGGAATAATATTAATCTAACCAATCAGGGTGGTTACATATGTCCAGGCCGGGGCCAATTGGTCCGACCGAACAAGGCCACGCCATGGGCCAATAATTATCACAACACCTAGAATCTCACCAAAATTATCAGCGGCATTATTATTTTATATGCAATACATTTATGCTGCTCAATTTTTATTCCTGGTCAACTTGAGGTGTTACAGTCTGGTGGGTGTACTTTGCCTGCGGGGGCAGCAGCTGGATCTGGACCCATCAATCGATTATCGGATCCTTCCGAATTCGAAAGGGTCGACATGTCAACAGTCAACTACAACGGGCGCGGGATACTTGCCGTGGTGCCGAGACTGACTATCCCTGCTAGGCCCCTCTGCAATAGTGTCTTCATGCTACAATCATACGATGTTTTCTCTTGCATTGGGAAGGTAGTACAACGTCAATGCCGGCTTGCCAGAAGTATTTCTTGGTGCATGGTACGGAGTAATAGCCCTGCTATAGGCCTTACATCCCAGCGATTAACCCCTATGCCGGAGGTATCTATACATATGGCCTTGCTTCCCCGCAAGTCGACAGGCGGGGGCATGCATGTGACGAGCCCACTCGAGAACCAGTTAACTCGGAGCGAGAAGCTAGCTACATATATGTAGTGAAAAGCCAACATTGAACCCTTGACATGAAATCAGAAAGCTTGAAGCTAATGGCATACTAAGGGGCTCCCTAACACGTATTGCCTCTCGGCCTTGTCCTTGGCCATGTAGAGCCGCATCTAGCGTCTGGGGCATCAACTCCACGCCCTCCTCCCCCGTGAGTCCTCATACATCTTTCATGCAGCCCTAAATGCGTGTCAGACTCCGGTTTCCACCTTGATGTAGTTGGCCAGAGTGAACTGCCTTGTCGATTGAGCCCCGCATATTCCTCGGTTGCTCAGGGTATAAGTTACTAGTTGGTATCGTGTCGACCTATTGTGTACGGTTTGGTTGCCATCGATATCTGCGAATACATATTCCTCTGGAGTTTGCGAAATGAGATCTACTTCAACATCAGACTGCGACGTAGCCCAAGGGCGCCCGAGCAAGAGATTACGCCTGGCCTGTGACGCGTGCCACAAGGCAAAGGTACGATGCTCCGGGGGCAACCCCTGTGAGAAATGCCAAAACTCGTTTGTGCTCCCAGCAAAGACATGAGCAAGCAGACACCAGCAGTTAGAATTAACCCTTTTCCTTCATGGGTGCAGCAATGCCGAGTGTCAATATAGCTGCATGGCTAAACTGGGCAAACCGAAAGGCAGTCGCAATAAACGGACCCTTGAGAAGATGGCGCACGCGTCCTGCACTTCCGGCCCTTCGGCCCGAAATAACCCCCAAAGAGTCGCGGCCAGCCGGTGCAGCTCGGTGGCACCCTGGGCAAACTCGGTTTCAACATCGTCAACGTTCGCTAGCGAGCCCAGTGAGCTCCAGTTGCAACAGCACCCGGCCTGGATCGATATAGACCCGTGCCTGGACTTCAGCCCCCAAACAGAGCCCTTTACTGGAACAGTTACTCTCCAATCTGGCTTTTCATCTTCAGTAGGCATGGTCCTTGAAACCACAGGCGAGATGGCTGCCTGCCTACCTAGGTTCCCCCAAAAGTATATACGCGTTACTAACTTCCTTTGGCACAGACAAGCTCGTCGAGCCAGTCGGCTATGAAAGGTTTGGGTCTTAGAAACGGTAAGCAAGCAACAATGAGGCCTAGAGTAGCGAGGTCATGTCTCAACTCATAATTTGCCCCGCCCCTTGGCTAATACATGTTGCCAAAACTATGTAGATGCTCGGCCATCTGAGCTCAATTGGGTCGGCACGGCCATGGACGGAAACAACTCGGTCTTGTCTGTCGAGGAGCAATTTCCAACAGACCCTTATGAAAATTCGACCGAGGCGGATTGGGAGGGGCCCATCGCAGACACCGGGACCGGGAGGCTGCCGCCTGTTGAGCTTATATATGGCAATCCCGACCATCCTCGACCCGAAGCTGGCCATGAGCCGAAGTCTAGCTCTCAGCGGAAATCACAGGCCGCCGAGGAGGGACGCCGGAATGGACAGAACTGCACATTCAATTGCTTCAAGAGACTGGCCAGCCATCTCGGCGATTTAAACACCATGGAACGGCAACCGAACATGATCTGCCTGGATGTTACACTCTCCCATGCTGACATGGTCATAGGCTGCGCTCACAAGGTGTTTGGGTGCTACTCCTGCCGGCTGGATACCAAGGTGCTGCTGATGCTCATGACTGCGCTGCAGACAGTGCTAAACTGGGTACGGGTCGAATACACAAGTAGTCAGCAGGGAGACGCTCCGTGTAATCTGCCAGAAATACTTTTTGGCAGCTGGAAAGTGCCCAGCGAGGACGGCCATCACATTAAACGTTTATTGACTCGGAGAATCCTTGCCACTTGTGAGTCTGCCATAAAAGTCCTGCGGTTTCGGCTGGACGAAATAGCGCTTGATACAAGCAGAGGGAACCTGACATACCAACTTCTGGATGTTGAGTCGCTCCAGAATACGTTGCAACGGTTGGCTTCATCATTAAAACAGCTCATGGAGGTTATCAAGGAGCCGTCGCATGAGCGCGATGTAAATGCCATGACAGCATAATTGGTGTGGGGGAACAAGTGCATTGATTGTGAGAAAACGGCCCTGCTTTAGGACTTGGATAGCCGCTTCGGCGACGCTGTAACATGTAACCATGTCTGATACAACCCCAAGACTAGGAGCCGTTGCTGATACATTCTAAAAAGCAACGACTTGCCACATATCGAGGGCCTGATACCTGACATTGTGCCCTCACTGCAGATTCAATGCAGCATAATGGCCGAGAATTAGGATGGTTCAGGTTAAAAATTGCTAGGTTCTCTTACCCTTAAAACAGGGGACTAACGGCTTTGGCCGGTGGTATAATCACCGACACAACTTTGCCGCCGATGCTACATTAGATGTCAGGCATGTGTTCGTATATGCCAGCGGTTTTTTGTAGACACATGTCTTGGTATAATTCCATTCACTCAAGGCTTTCTGGAGAAACCTTTTTATCTCTTCTTTCTTTGTTTCTTTTCTTGTCTTCCACTGCTGCAAACCCTGGACTTGTTCAGCCCCTGACGTGAAGATGGGTGCATTCCCCCCTGAGCCAGCCAACTTGGATTGGTCGACGGTGAAGCTCGCAAACCTGCCCGAGACCAACGGGCACGTCGAGGTGCACTATTCAACATCGGCGCATACCTGGGGTCAACCGCAGCTCGTCCAAGACCCATACATGAGGGTGCATGGGCTAGCTCCGGGCCTCAACTACGGACAGCAATGCTACGAGGGACTGAAGGCGTTCCGGACCAACAACAAGGCACATGCAATCCACGTATTCAGACCCCAGGCGCACGCTGCACGGCTCCGCAACTCGGCGGCCATGGTGCTCCTTCCAGAAGTCCCCGACGAGCTCTTTCTCGAATGTGTCCGAATGGTTGTTGTGGCCAACGCCGAATTCGTGCCGCCTGCAGATAACGACACGGGCTTCCTATACCTGCGCCCCGTCCTTTTCGGCGCAGGGCCGCAGCTTTTACTGCAGCCACCCGAACACGTCATCTTGGCCGTCTATGTAACACCAATGTGCAGCCCCGTACACGGCACATCGGATGTAGACGCCCTCGTCCTGGACGAATTCGACCGCGCTGCGCCCCGTGGTGTCGGCGCTGGCAAGTTGGGGGGGAACTACGCGCCAGTGTGGCCCTTTTCCGTAAAGGCCGCGGAAGCCGGGTTCGCCATTACCTTGCATCTAGACAGTGAGACACGGTCACTTGTACAAGAGTTCAGTACCAGCGGCTTTGTTGGTGTTGTCACCGCCGGTGGAAAGCGCGAGTTGTACGTACCTGAAACGGACAACGCCGTACGCAGCGTCACGAGCGACTCCCTCCTCGCTGTGGCCAAGGGGCAAGGGTGGCAAGTGTATCGGGAAAAGGTAAGTTTGTCCTTGTATAAAATATCTGATTTTGTTTTGATCATATAAATCCTATCTAGCCATTTATCCCTCTAACAACGCAACAGGTTCCGTTCGCTGGGCTCAACCGCTTTTCTCAGGTCTTCGCGGTCGGCACTGGTGCAACTGCTGTTCCCGTGCGCTCAGTCACTCGTCCAGCAACCGGCGAGAAGTATAACTTTAGCCCTGAGGGACCTGGCACAACCCTTGTGAAAAGGCTCCTGGAGGTTCAGCGAGGATCGCAAAGTGCGGAGCCAGATTGGTGCTGGACTGTACGTACGAACGAGGAGCTGTAGTCTTGGCTACTAAAAAGTAAAGACAATGCAAACAGTGATGCCCTTTTTCGTAACTTGGTTGGTTTTTGCTGTGTCCATTTCAAAGTTCATCGCTGGGGCAGGCACACGCACAATGCCACCTCATTATTTCCCGATGCTCTAGGCGCAGATTGTGCTGGGTGGCGTGATGATCCGGTCAAGTCTGGTAGGCCGCAGTCTCAACTCTACCCAAATGCTGAGAGACTTCCTTGTAGCCAGCTGGAGCCCAAGTCTAATTTAGAGGCATCTGATTCATGTCTTGGCAAATGAATATTGTGTTTCCTACTGCTATTAGTTGTCTATGTCGCGGGCAATACGCCAACGCATTTTCCTTCTTGTGAGCCTGACCAACAACTAGGTTTACTGCGGCGTCGATTCCTACCCCGTTGCCCTGGCGAGCGAATTCTCGTCTGGTCCTCTTTTGAAGTCTATACCAGAGATGAGTATTGCACTAACGGCCTCTAATCCTGCGACAAAGACACATAATAAGCTGGCTATGACAAAGTGGCAGATTGTAGAGCCGATTTCCAGCCAGGAACCTTCATCTTTCACAACCCAAAAAAAGTGAAGCGTGAGTGTATCGCTTAGTCCCATAGCAACCATGAATAACGCCGATGGCGCGACGCCTAACCGCTTGTTGAGAACGCCGAGATTTACAGAGAGCAAAGTAAAGGGTATCATAATCTTGAATATGAGTAGCGCCCCTTGTGTGAATGGGTTAAAAACAGGAAGAAGTCGGCAAACACTTTCTAAGCTGAAGGATGATATAGATGCGATATTTCCTGTGCTAAAGAAGGCCGATTGCAACAAAACGAAAAAGAATAATGTCACACGTGCATCGGATAGCTTTAATGGGCGAAACTGCGTCGCCTTGTTGGATACAGCTGTCGATCCATTGCCCACATGGACCTTGGTTGCCGGAGGGTCTGTATGGATTTGGCTGCAATGCTCTAATCGAACCCACGTGAGAAGGGCTATTCCATAAACGACGTAGAAAAGACCCTCGTAAGATATAGTGAGGATCACAAAGGTTGGTGCAAGGGTCAGGAAGATAACCATCAGCCTGTGCAAGTAATGTCTGTTGGGCTGCAACCAATGTGCCACTGGCATCAGTAGGGAGATGATCAATGTCAACCATCCAACTACTTGGTTACCACGAGGCAAGCCACCCTTTGCCTGTAGTGCGAGCGCACTGGAGCGACTCACGATTGTTGCCACAAGAACAAGACCAGTCTGGTTCTGGGTTAGTAAGCTTCCTCAACGACGAGAATTAATTCGCGCTCACCTGGATGCCAATCAAGACCCTTGATAGGCTGTTCCCTTTGTACAATGACTTTAACTCAGTTCCGGACAGGTCGGCAGTTACCTTGTCTTCAAAAACGAGATACAGGACCCCAATCACCACGACGGAGAATCCACCGAGTATGCTGTGATCATAAGAAAGTGTTCATTGGCCATGGTTTTCGGGTCACCTACATTAAAGTGACATTTTCAACCTTATTAGCTGGCAGGAGTGTGAATACGCTCATTGTCACACATGAGATAAACCAGGTGGTTGTCAGAGCGCTATGCTTCTGGAGGAAGGATATGCCAAGAAGTAGCGGGTAGAAGGAACCAGCGAAGAAAAGAACGGTGAGAACCTCACGATGCATGTAGCTAAGAGCCTAGGGGTAACTGCTCAGCACTACTGAAGTAAGACGCGAATCAGCCGACTTACCAAACATTCTATAATTGTTATGTATGCGATGAAGCTTGAAACAAGAGACAGGACACCTTGGCTAGATTGAACGTGTCCAAGAAGAGCCTGTCGTCCCTTGACCAAACTCTCTTTTCGCGCCAAGACTTCTTCCCAGAAATATACTGGGAAGAAGGCGTATGCGTAGTACATCAAGGGCGAGCGAGATGCAATAAAGGATGCGTACATGGCAGCCAGAACTGATGAGAAAAAAAACGTACTGCCTAAAGATCGTTTAGGCCGAATAGTATCCTGAAGAACATGCAGATTAACTACAGTAGTAAGAGAAAATGCGGCCCAGCCAAGGTATCCGATCGTGATGAGGGCCCGTAAAAAGAGCCAATCGTATGTCTGAAGATACCTCAGACCTTCAAGGGCAATTTTGATCAATGCAGCTGTTTCCTCAATAGCTTCTTCAAAGCTCGCGCCATCAATCAAAGTCTGTATCGCCTGCAGTCTCTCATTAGGGGTCTGGCTCTCCGCACTGAGCGGTGTGTATGGTACATAACGCAGCTGGGATGCCCTTTTGATGCGCTCCTTGACATTAAACATGGCAAGAATCTCGCGAGCATTGAGAAGTGAGGCTGCTGCCTTTTCCTTGATACTCGCATCAAGATAGGATAAAGGCAATTCTCCGACAGAATTGGCAGGAAATTCAACTCCTACCAGGTGAGCCATGAGCGCCGCCACATCTGCTTGTGATACGTCATGCCTCCTAATGTTATCGAGGTTCCAGTTGGATGAATAGTCATCATGACCAGGTGCAACAACGGAATTTAGGTACACCACCGGCTTTGCAACGCCTGATCCCCAGGCAATTAGAGGTGTCCGTGTATTATCCGGATGTCCATCGCCATGGCTACCCCAGTCACTCATCCCATGATCTGCCGTAAACACAAAAGCTGTTCTTTCATCTCTATAAAACTGGTTAATGAGCTCAGAGATTTCCTTAACGCCCTGGTCAACAATCTTAATGTTGTTTAGGTACTCCTTAGAATAAGGGCGATAAAAATGGCCTGTACTATCAATTCCTAGGAGATGTAGGAAGAAAACCACCTTATCTTGTCTTAGGGCCGCATTAAGCGTCTCATTCTTGGCGGCTGATGCGAACAACTCCTTCACATGGTTAAAAACCCACAGATCTAATTGGATAGCATCTTGGGTAAAATCCTCGAAATCCGCATCATAGCAGTAAGCGTCAATTCGGCCAGGTGTGGCGCCTTTATCGAACATGGGTAGGATATCAGGACTGCCCCAGCTCCACGTATGTCTACTCCGGTTAAAGACACTGTCAAAGTTGACTGGGTTTAGCTTCCAACCTGTCATGACGGCCGAAACATCCTCATAAAGACCAGCAATCAGTGCAACGTGCCCTGGTCTCGATTCTGTAGGCACTCTTGTGTGAGAAACGCCAAAGGTACCATGCTGCAGAACTCGCGAACGCAAAAACTGTGCAAGATGGCGTGGTGTCAAGTCGTCGTCCGTCTTTGGATAGGGCTCCGGGAAGGCCTGGAAGGCCTTGTCAGCACGCAACCCGTCGCCTGGTCAGTTCTACATTAGCAAGGGTGACTTGTGGCCGAATCCGCGACAATCATACCGACAAACAGCACCAGGCGATCGGCGGGAGACTTTGTTCCTGGTGGACGTTCTATGGGGATAAGAGGCATTCCTGTGACTATAGGGCTGACAAAGTATATGTCAAAAATGGAATAGATGTAGACAAGGTGAAAGACCATGGCTATTGCCAGGAAATGAAAGCGCGTAGCGCTAATAGCCATTTGGAACAAGTTCCCCGAGGGAAGACCGTCACGCTCGACAAGTCAGGCCTATTGTTAGACGACGTGGAAAGAGGCGGGTTCCCGCAGCAATTCCAGCATCTAATATCGCAGGGATTGTCACAAGATAGGCTTGGCTAAAGAATTGAGACTAATAATGGTGGTGGTGTACCCAAGTGCAGCTGACAAAAGGGGTCAACGGTGCCCAAAAAGTTCGCGTACGCGTGAAGTTTGGGGCTTGGTAACTCGCCAAGATTATGTCAGCATCACAGGCGAAGTGGGGCCTCCTCCACTGCGTCCATGGTGGGGACGGACGGGGAGGCTGACAGATCGCCTCTTTTAGTTCCGGCTGGGCCGCCCCGCCCCACTCCCGTGGAACTTGACCTTCCTGGGAAGTAACTCGGCGACTATCCCGTTCGCCTCTTGAGAGGTTGTCAGAGGATCTTAGTGCTATGTATTAGATGATTTATATACGTAAATACAACTGGGTTTAAAGACGCATTTACGAATAGAAAAAACCGTCTTAAAAATAATAATATTAGGAACACTCTAGTCGTCGAGGGACTGACGGTTGCGAATACGGGTATTTGAATTCGTTCAATGAAGCAGTAATATTCGTCTCAATCTATCTGCTGTGCTGCATACTATGCGTGCAGTTCTCAACAAATCCGCCCTTCTTAGGTTCGTGACTCAGCGGAGGGTTCAATCTCGGTACATTTAGTATCCTACGTAATGAAAAGCAATCCCCCATGCGTAATGGAGCTCTGGTTTGTAATTTCTGTTGTGTGTTAGAGCTAGGTCTGTCCAACTACAAATCCTCGGCTTCGGTGATCCTAATCCACATGTCTCGATGCGTGAATGTTACACTGGATGTTTCCGTCCATCCTGGCTTGGCTGGGTTCGCCAACTGGAGTTCAAACTGGCGCAATAACTAGTTATCTAGCATTAGCTTGCTTCTTAGTCCCCGCGCCTTGGTCTTGGCTACCGACGATATGGACTATAATGAGCAATCGACTCACCTCCCAGAAGATCTTGTTCAGCTCCATTAGTGCAACCTGCTTGCCGACACACATCCAGCGGCCGGTACCAAAAACCAGCTCGACAGTCCTTTGCATCTCGTCCCCGTTTGGCTGGTCTAGGTACCTCTCGGGTCGGAATACATCAACGTCGCCGCCAAAAATTTCCTCATTACGCATCATGCCGTAGTGATTGTGACCGATGGCGGTACCCCCGGGCACCCGTATTCCGGCAATCGTGTCGCCACCCGGAGGTACAACTTTATAGTGGCCATATGTTACGGCTGGTCGCATGCGGAAGCCTTCCCAGATAACGGCCTATGCGGGAGCATCTGTGTAAGTGCACTTTGCTTTGCATGTAATGACGGCGTCACTGCAAGGGGGCACCCGACATCATAGTGGAACCGGGTGTGTGTAAACAGCTAGACAAACCTGGAGATACGGCAAAGATTGCGCTTGCGCTAGAGTAATGGGTGTTGATACTTCGCCACTGGAGATGGCGTTCTTGATGTTAGTCTTAAGTCGCGAGTCTAAAAGCGGAAGTAGGCAAGTCAGTATAGTATAGTGTATAGCCTTGATAGATCCAAGGCTATTTATCATTATTCCTCTGCATACTACCACAGCGGTTTGTAGCGACACTATGGCTCAGGTTAAGGGGGAACGTAGCTTCAAAACGTACTAGATTGGTAGGTTAGATGTCCTTTCCACTACAACGCATTCTCCGTTCAGAAACACTTACCAGACTCGAGGAGTTGCAATCAAATGCAACATGACAGAGCGGATCACAATGGCAGTCGTGTCCGACCCGGCAAAGATCTGAATTAGGGCTTCATCCTCAATTTCGTTCACAGTAAGCCCATGGCGCATGAAAGACCCAATCATATCTCTATCATCATTCTGGTTCTCGGCGAAGCGTTTCCGGATTTGTTCCCGTCCAAGTCTAAATTGTCATGTGACGTCAGGTCAACTTATACAGACGATGTAGACAAAGAAACTCTATGCTGTCACATACCCAACAACTTTTCCAACCCCATGGCTGGCTGCAGGTCTCGGCTTAAATCGGCTATTAATAAACGACCATCGCACGAATGGATGTAGCCACGTAACGTCTGATATCAGAGCTCCTAGGGCTGCGAATTTACTTATCTCAGCGCCGTACCCATACAAGTCCTCGTCGGCTTCCACCCACCCAAACTCCTTGCCGTAAGCCAGTCTCGTAATAACATCGAGTGTGAAAAACCGACTAATATCCGCAAAGTCGACCATGTTCTTGCCAACATGTTTCCTTCGCATCGCATCCACTAGTTTTGCAATCTGTTCATTAATAATAATTTCCAAATCTATGTCTCGTCCACTGTATCCGCCCGCTACCTTTGCCTTCATCTTGTCATGAGAGGCTGAGTCCAGAGTGTCCGCCAGGCTGGGCCGTTGATAGTCGATTCGGCCAGCGGCCCACCACATATCTCGCTGGTAGGTGCTTCGGGCGGCATTGACGTATTTCCAAATGTTCGGATCCGTAGTCACTAGGTAATGCGGCCCTGTGCGGACGAGAGGTGAATTGTATTTTTTCAGCCCAAGGTGTACGGGACCCACGTCTCCAGCAAGTTGGTGATAGATGGACCAGAAGTGAGAGAATTTGCCTAAAAACGGACCAGGAATATGGCGAAGTGATTTCCACGTTATGACAGAAGTTATGATATACCAAAAGACTAAAATAACGGCAGCATAATTGAGAACGGCAGTTGTGTCTAGCTGTATGAACCTTAAGATAGCCATCTTGATGTAATGTGTATTGGGACATTGGCTGGATCGCGGGAGAGCAGAAGACAGCCAAAAACTGCCGGACGCGGACAGCATGTTTGCATTACAGGAATAACATATATAACAGTCCTTTCCCCCTTTTCCAATTCCAGCTAGCCTCTACCATCTAACTTGTTATGCTGCATTTATTGGCCGAGACCTGGGGTGGTTGGTTAAAGGGCAAAGACGTCTGCATGCGTGAATGGTGTATAGCGTCGCGTCCTGGGCCGATATGGCATGGCACCTTGATGCATGGTATACCATGACCGGGTAATATAACCCTAGTCATAGGAAAATATCAGCACCGGTAATTAGCAAGGATGCCGCGGCGGATCCAACTCGGCGATTTTCCAACATACTGCTCTGGAACGAATCATAGCCTGGGTTTTGCGTTGTCGGTGCATCTGATTATTGCCGACGCCAGTGGCGATATGTCTGGGCTTGTTGCTTGGGCCTACCCATCCACAGATACCGGACGCTCAACCGATTAGAAGGGGCTTGTTGATGCTGATGCAAATGGCTAAATATTAACAGCACCCTAAGCAGACATTAATGCTCGTTTGCTTAGCTAGATCAGTAGACATGTATTACATCTATAGCTCTTGCTTTAACAAGTCAATATTACAGTATATTTGTTAGTCATGGAAGTAATGCCCGTAGCCCGCCCCGTCTTTGTCTCTGTCCAGCAAATACTTGCTGTAAACACGGCATGCCTTGGCTAGGCGATCTAGTCATCCGTATGTTTGAGGAAGATGTACTTTGACAATGATCAATACAGATAAGTTTGTAACCATTAAATAAATGCTATTATTCGATCATTACCCTCAAAATGAAATGTCTGTTGAGCAAGCATGTGCCGGAATCTTGTGTCCACTAAGACCCTGTACCAACCCTGGGAGCAACGATATCAGTGCTGCCACGATCTTTGCTGGGATTAAATCTGGATTGTATACAACATGAAGTAGAAGGCCCCCATCCCTTTGCTCACTGTAGTCGAACAACAGAGGAAACATGGTACCCTTTGGCCGCGCAGCCCTAGCGGCGCTCAGCTGAGTAACTTGCACATCTGGCCCTAGATCTAAGCGGGTTTCCAGCGCGTCTGACTGCCAGTTGTAAATGACCAGGACGTCGATGAAGCGATTATTAGTTGATACGAACTGGGACCGAATTCGAGCGTAGGGTGCTTGTTGCTCGACGGCATGATGCGTGGCCGAGGACACCAGATCGAGTAGTACATTGGCACTCGCCAGGTCTGCAGAGGATAGTTCCAGTCGTATTGGGAGCCGGTCGACAAACAGACCCAACATGCCGGCTGTGGCTGGGTCGTCACGATTCGTATATGGAATGGCAAGAGCGACGTCCGAAATGCCGAAGATGGCTCGGAGGGCGAGAGCCGTAGCTGCGACGGCGAGGCGCTGCGAATAAGGCGCGTCTGAGCATTTATCAGGGCACGGGATGGAGACGTGCTGGCAAGCGCCGGGATTTGTAGCCGTCTCAGTACAAGAATCAAGATGATCATGACGATGAACAGTTGGGAGTGTGCGAATCTGCCACTTGCTCCCAAGAGTTTTCCTCCAGAAGGCCATCTTTTGTTCCAGCTGCATCTGCGCTCGCGGCGTTTGTTGATGGATATGAAGCCAATGAGCCCAGTCGGCATAGCCTATTTGCCGGGACCCAGGCTTCTGCTTTGATACAGATGGTGTGATTGTAGCCCCGTCTTGTAATGTCTGGGCTTGTACACGCCGATAGTGCTGGCTCAGGGACCCCAGCATTAGTGAAAGCGAGGCTCTATCAGTTATAATGTGATGGGTCATGATTGCAACCTCTACGACATACCGCGAAGCATCTTTCGCTTTTTTGTTGTCACCCCTGTCCCAAATAATAACCCTTAATAGCTGGTGTCGGGCCAGATCGAACGGCGTGTCGGCCAAAGCTTGCATTTTGTTATCATTCCATTCGTCGCCAACAAGATATCGCGCATCTGCGACGTTATCACTAGTTACACGGCAAGGACGGCCCTGCGAATCGATAGTATATCGAGACCGTAAGATAGGGTTATTTAGTTGTATAGCTGTAAAGGATTGAATAAGAGCCTTAATATTAATTGTGCCGTTAAGAACAAATTGGATGATGGTATTGAATGCTTGCTTGGTGTCTGATGCGTGGTGGGAGTAAAATAGCTCCTCTTCCATGTACGATAAGTGAGGCGAGTTGGATAATACGTTATCTGGAAGAGTATGCAGTCCTGACGAGAATAGATATGCAGAAAATGACTCCGTTTCAAGATCTCGGGCTATAGATGAAGAGGGTGTGTTATACTGGTCGATAGCGAGAGCTAGCTCCTCAAGGACGGTTGTTCGTAAGAGAAGCGCCACGGGGATGTGACGCCCAATCGATGAAGCCAGCTCTCGAGCGGCTCTGATGGCAAGAACAGAATTTCCTCCTATCGTTAGAAAATCTTGGTCTTTCTGTATTGGAAAAAGGGGCTCTAGGTGGAGCAGTTCTTTCCAGATTTTGCTGATCGTTTTCTCTGTCGCTGTTAGACTAGCCTCGTCTTTCTTCTTATAGTTATACGGCTGTATCAAACCGTCACTATTATCAACCGACCACTTGGACACTGCGAGAGCCATAAGTGCCTTACGGTCTGCCTTAGAGTTTATCGTCCTAGGCAGTTCTGATAATGTGATCATCTGCGAAGGCCACATGTAACTGGGCAGTATAGCGGCAATTCGGGCACGTAACGCCGCTAAATTAACGTTTTGTGGTGTCACGAAGCCAACGACGCGCTTGTCGGCTTCAGACCATTGCGTCGGGTCATCTTGGTTTCCATTTTTGGCGTGAGCATCTACGACCATGATGACGGCGCTCTGGACACGAGTGTCCAGATCAGCCCCCAAGATGGCGTGCTCAATCTCCTCCAGCTCAACACGGAATCCGCGTATCTTGACTTGATTGTCTATTCGACCGATATAATTTAAATTCATCTCGTCGTCCCAGAATCCTAGATCGCCAGTGCGGTACATGAATTTTTGGGCCTGAGATGAGGCGAATGGGTTTGGTAGGTGTTGCACGCTATGCCTGCCGTTTTCTCTCCAGTATCCGCGAGTGATCTGCTCACCCGAGATGTATATCTCCCCTGTAACACCCTGAGCAACCGGGCACTGTCGATGATCTAGCACGTACACACTGAGTCGTGGAAGCTCGTGACCAATCGTAACTTTGTGGCCAGGTAGAAGTTGTGCAGTTGTTGAAATGGATCCACACTACAGACGCAACGGTTTGATATCAGCGGATTTGGGCTTCTCCTATGCTAGGCGTACTTGCACAGGGGGGTGAGACTTGAAGTTATAGGTCACATGAACAAACACAAAAGACATATACACATATGAGCAGAGACCTGGGAGTAGAGAAAATGACTGGAGCTCACTTCGCTCGGCCCGTAGCCGTTTATCAGACTTCGCCCTTCACCCCATAATTCGATTACGGATGGCGGAACAGGCTCTCCGCCAACTAGTATTGTGTCGAGATTCGTATACTCGGAAGGGAGACACGCCAAGAGCAACGAGGGGGTCATTATGGCGGCATGGGCACGTTTAAGGTGCTTGAACGGATCCCAAGCTTCTTTAAGCATCAAGGTACCTCCATAGCAGAGCGTGCCAAATATCTCGAGTGTAGCAATGTCAAAACCTACGTGAGGCATTAGTTTATGGTCCTCGGACAGATTAAGTGTCAGTCAATTTTGGACTTGCCTGCTGAAAAAAGCTGGGCAATTCGACGACCTGGTGCTGCGCGAAGCCGGACAACCGGGTTTTCTATGACGTGCAAAATGCTGAGATTATGTAGTGGAACACCTATGACTATTATGTTAGTGCCGTGGTACCGCACTGATGTATCAAAAGAACAAATCAGTAGTTATTGAGCGCACCTTTTGGAACTCCGGTAGTCCCTGAAGTGAAGACCAAGTAAATCACATCGGCTGCCTGGGTGATGGTGTCTAAAGGGGTCGCATCCTGCTGGGTATCACCTTGCAGAAACTTGTCAACGATGATGTAAGCCTTACTCTGATTGGTAGTACCTTCTCTCAAAAAATCTATGGCTGACATGCAATGTTGATTCGCAGACACAAAGACGGAGGCGCCGCTTTGCTTCACAATGGTCTCTACCCTCCCTTCTGGGAGCGTCACGTCGAGTGGACAGCAGATACAGCCGGCCTTGATCACAGCCATGACTGCCACAATCCAATGCAGCGATCGATCCGTCAAGACACAAACAATTACCTCGGTAGGCACCTTACCCTTGATTCGTCCTCTCAACGCTCTAGCCAACTTGTTAGATGCCTCGTCTAGCTCTCGGTAAGACATGGTGCCGTCCTGTGTAGATTGAACCGCGCACAGCTCTGGCCACTTGGTTGCAGCAGCTTCGAGAGCCTCCTTGACCGTCTTGGGGCCGTCATACTCTGCTTTGTTGGTAGGTGGTCGAATAAGGGTGGCGATTTCGCTGTCCTCTAACAGTCCCGCCCGCACGTCATGCACATACATGTTGCTTTGGTCTATGAAGCCTTTCAACGCGTTCCGGAAGTGTAGTAAGATTTTACGAACATCAAAAATATCACAATGAGTGGCATCGAAGAGACCGCGGACTTGGAGTCCATCTGAGCCTTGTTTCTCAACCATCAGTGACAGCCCAAACTCCACCATGAAGTCCTGACGCTCGATGCACCAGGCTCCGTTTAGCGGCGGTACGTCGTACTCAGTAGCGACGACGGTGCGCATAATGCTATTGATGTTCTCGCCGCTCAGGGAAGTCATGACCTCGGCGGTGGACCACTGAAATTCCACCGTCTCCAGCAAATGGCTGTGGACTGATGATGCGAAGTCTGATATCGTCTGATGCTTGCTGGTAAATCGAATGGGGAAAGGGACTGTGTTGATCAGAGGGCCGACGACACCTTCTATATCCATGTCTATTCTCGCATCTAGGACGGAGTTTGTGATGACGTTACGGCCTGATAAGACAATACCAAATGCCACACGATCCGACAAGGTGTAGTTGGAGAGCACAAGGCCCCAGGCTGCGTACACTAGAGTGGACGGAACAACATGAAAACGACGGGCCGCCATTTCCAAATCACAAACACGTAGGTCCAGGGGCAAGATATGGCTGCTCATGCAGCTTGATGAGGCTTCTTCGGATTGATTTGAGGTTGAGAATGGCACCGATGGTGCGTGAGATTTGGGCAGCGTCAACTCCGGAAACGCGGCTTGATTTTCCAAAAGTGTCTGGGCCCAGAAATCAACTCCAGATGGATCGCTCTGAAGCTTCTTCTGGGCCAATGTGACATTTAGGAACTGGTCTGGGCAATGAGATATGGACGGCAGTGAATCATTGCCATCAACACCTTGTAAAGCGGCCTGTACCTCATTGATGACGATGCTGAGGGACCAACCGTCCACCCGAGCATGATGCACCGCCATTAGAAGTGTCGAGTCGTGGCCTGACACAGTGATGAGCCGGAATGCAGTCACGGGCAGGTACAGGTCCTCTGAAAACTCGTCAACCACTGTTAGCTGCCTGCGCATCTCGCGAGACTGCGCAAGAATGACTGCGGCCGCTCTGTCCGACGTGGATTCCTCGTGGTACCAATCTAAATTCACCTGCGGGCGTATTTCCTGCATCCCTTCCTTTAACAGGAACGACGTCCGGAAAGCCGAGTGTCGCTGCAAGACCTGATTCCACGCGTCCTTCATCCTCTTGAGGCTGGAAGTGGTGGTTGGATACCAAGGAATACGAAGATGCAGAAACATGTAGTTAAGCCCAGGTCTTCTGATGCTACCTTGCACCATTTTTGTCTGTAGACTAGTCATTGGCCCCTTGGGAATGTTGGTTTCCATCATCTCATTATCCCTTAACTCACCGCATTCTATATGCCCATCTGTACCATTTGCCTCGATCTCTTTCAGTGCGTCACAGACGGAGCTGAGATTTGGGAGGTCAAAAATGGCTTTCAGCCCAATCCGAAGATTTCGTTTATGCAAGTAAGACGCGACTTGGATAGCTACGAGCGAGTTCCCACCTAGCTCCCAAAAAGAACAGTCTTTGGCGACCTTGTCGAGTGGCAGCGAGGTTGCAGCCACAATGGCCTCTCTCAACGTCTCCATCTTCGACATTCCTCCACGGACATTGTGCGCATCGTGCCTGGCCAGGTGATGTAAATCATCATGTACAATGTTTGGTTGATTGTTGTTGGTGTGCTCTTCCACCTCTAGCTGCCGCCGTAGCGTGTGGGTGTCCGTCTTGCCATTTACCGTCATTGGAAGTGCGTTGAAAGCCCGAATCTGATCTGGAACGAGGAAGTCTTCATGCTTGCGTGCCAACGCCTGCCGCATCGCTCGAATATCCACATTCTCCGGGGTGACAATGCCTACCAGCTGTTTGTTGTGCATGAAGGCTGCAGCTTCGTTCGCGCCTTGGGCGAGAAGTGCGGGTACGACTTGTGCTTCAAGGTTGATCAGAAACCCCCGATTCTTGACTAAACTGTCCATGCGACCGGCAAATTCAAGACCGTGTTTAGTTCTCCTCGCAAAGTCGCCGGTTCGGTATGCCCTCTCACCACTGTTCAAGGTGATGAATTTCTCGGCTGTGAGGGCCTCATTCTGATAATATCCCACTGCTAGTCCAGGCCCGGTGATGCATATCTCGCCAAAGTCACAGTCACCTCTTTCAACATTTGATAAATCTCCATCTTTTAATAGCAACACACGTGAACCTTGCATGGGTTGACCAAGTGTCACGGGCTTCCAAGGCACGACGCGGCCGATCAATGACATGATGGTGGTTTCCGTCAGCCCATACGCATTGTAGATACTGCGGGTGGGCGTCCACCACTTGTGCAGTAGGGATTCAGACGGAGCCTCGCCGCCCAGTATGATAGTTCGGGCCCTATCAAAGACATTCCCTGGAGTTCCAAATGCTGTTAAGATAGACGGGGTGGCCACTAGGATGGTCGAGCGAGCTGCGCATTCCAGAACATCATGTGCGCTCGCTACAACCACCTGCGCTCCATTGCACAAAGCCGAGACCATGACGGCGACACAAGCATCGAACCCGGGTGAGAAGAAAAGCAGAACCCTGTCGTCCGGGGTTGCGTTGAAGTTGAAAGGGGTCTCATCGTTACCCTGCTGCGCGTAATTCAAAATGGCCGAGTGAGGAATCATGACCCCTTTCGGTGCCGATGTCGTCCCCGACGTGAAGATCATGTAAGCTAGGTCCGAAGGCTTTATTTCTGGCGCGTCTCGACCTTTTTTGATGCCATGTTTCTGCTCAGTAGCAGTCGTCTCCAAACCTGCCTTAACGTCAGAGCTCGTTATAACACTGCACTTTGAAGGGTATGAGGTCGTGACCGCAGTGCCTAGATTTATTACTACTCTCGCGGAGACGGTCTTCAAAGTCATCGTTATGCGCTTCTCATTCCACGATTCGATGTCAATAGGAACGTAACAAGCTCCGGCTTTGAGGACTCCGAGGAAGCAGGGGAATATCTCTATACTGCGAGTGGCCAGCACAGGGACAAAGTCTCCTGGCAATACCTGCTTTTGTTGCAGAAGCCACGCGACATGAGACGCTGCATCCTCAAGTTGCCCATATGAAACATTCCTTGACCCAAACGAAATTGCCAGATGGTCGGGTTTTGCGTGTGCCCATCTCTGGACAAGGTCACAAACGGACTTGATCTCTTTACCGCTGTCCATGACGTCCTAGACGATGGTGATACTAGTATGGAATGGAGAGGTGGACTGATAGCTATGTAGGTAGAGCGAATTACTAACAAATGGTTTATCTGCTTTATCTTAACACAATTCTTATATATAGTATTTAAAGATAATATACACCTACCTTTCCCGCTGGAACTCTCAATTTTTCCGCCATAAAAAAAGTCACGCATATATACTATTATTATCTGTATACTACGGAAAGATATTTTTGTGTTCCATGTCGGAATTATATCAGGGAAGGAGCTTAAAAAAAAGGTAAATAGTTGCGTATAAGCACATTTCTTCGGAGACTATTCGGCAAATAAGCCAAATAAGCCTGGCATACCACTTGTACTGAATAGTTGACACGAATTTATTGGCCGGTAGTTATTAAGCGACACGGATTGAATGTGAGATGTGGATAAATACGACGATACAATTCACCCAATCGCATGTTCACAGCTAACTTCCATTGCTCCGCAAACCTCGGGCAGATATTGCCCGGCCGACTCACCTGAATCGGCAGTCACTATTCTCGCTGTTAATCGTGGTTTGATTCCCTTTTTTTTGATCTTCAATTGTACATTTATATATAGTGCTAACTATTATCTTGCAGAGAAAAAGCAGGGAAATAGCTTATTAATAAAGCACAGGGAGTATTTTAAGCATAAGAAAGGATTTATCCGCCAAGTAAATAACTTTATTGAGAAGCTAAAATCGGCTGTATAAAATATTATAATTTGCAGTAAAAAGAAAAACGGTTAATCCGCTGAGTTTACTACCTATATAGTTGACACAGACTTTCTATACTTTAATAATAAAAGTACTTTATAATACTTGACTATCTTTAAATACGTTTACACAGCTAAAAGCCCCTTTAGGGATTGTTGCAACTTGTGACTTTTTGGGGCTTATCTGATAATAAATAGGCTATATAGAGCTTTTCTTGTTGAAAATAACGACTTTATTATAAGTTAAGTTCTTTAAGTAAAGAGGTTATAAAAGCTGTTCTTGTATATAATAATATATCCTCTTAAATACTTTCGGATTTTTACTAAGTTTAGGTTATAATCTAGTATTAAATTCTTATTATTTATAAACTATAAAGGCTGGCCAGCTATCTGAATTTATCCAGGTAGTAGAGAGTAAAGATAAAAGACCTCAATTCTTCAAGTTAAACAAGAAGAGAAGAGACAAGAATATATCACAATATTTTATCTTTATAATAGTACTACTATATATTAAACACCTGCTATTAAAAGAAAAACACGAGTAGTATTATGCTAGATATTATTAATAAAGCTCGACAAAATCCCTACTAGTCAACTGAACTATAACGTCTGCTATAGGAATTACTTCTGACTTCTCTGCAGAGCGTTCTGTTTTCTCTTTTCGTTCGGTAACAATATCAATTTTGTATCGTCTTAGTAAATGGGCGAGGAGCGCTTTGATGCCTTGCGCGGCGATATATTGTCCTGGACACTTGCGGCTGCCAAACCCGAAGATGGCTATATTGTATCGAAGCTGCAGTACCCAATGTAAAGTTAGTGATAATACAGTTGCCAAGGCGGCATGAAGAATAGGCGACATCTTCGTTAGGTGGAAGTGTGGAAGGTTGGGCGAAAGTAACTCTATAAAATGGGGAATATAAATTTGTACATCTGTGGGCTTGATATTCTCAAAGCGAGACGGTCTGAATTCTTCGCTATCACTTCCCCAGAAAGGGTTCCGGACATTAATAGCTAACACATCAACCAGAACCATGGTCTAATTGAGAGTTTCGTATTTAGTACTCAAGAGACTAATAGTTTGCAGGGATATCAGGTTAGGTGGCACTTACATTCGGCTCAACCAGGATTCCGTTGAAAGTTTTTACCGACGGGGACGTTTCACCGATATTAAACACTATCATCATGGCACAAGATTTGGTCAGCGTTTGGTTCTTTAAGGTTGCCCGCGAACGGGTAGTTAAGAACATCTATACCTGCAGGTGGCTGTAGGCGAAGAGTCTCCATGAAGGATCGGTGCAAATATGTATCGCTTTTTGAAATATACTCATGCAGCCTGTCCCAGTTAGCATCTATCTCGTCGCCCAATTCCTGCTGAACCTTCTTATTCTCCGCAATATTTTTGATCGCCCAGGTGATTGCATGTACCATCACGTCCAGGTTCGTCAGGATAATCTCATCTAGGCTGTGCATGAGCTATTCTCACAAGTCCCAAGTCAATTCGAGTCACTAAAAGCATACTGACAAGCCGCTTACGTTTTCCAGTGTGATATCTCCAGCTTCGTAGGCATCGTAGATCAAGACCACGGGCGTCTTGATACCACTGGCACGCCTTGTCTCTACTATCCGGTCGTTGTAATTGCGCCACTCTATGGTGTACTCGTTGAGAAGGCTGTAGCTTTTCCGATCGAACCAGCTTCCCCAACTGAACCTATACGGGCCCCCAAGGATGGTGAATGGCCACAGTGCCAGCCGCTTCTCCGCCAGAGTCCAGAGATCATCTCTCTCAGCATTGGTCATAGTACCATAGATGATGCTGGCAGTAACGTCCAAGGGGAATTTCCTGAATCCGTCGGCGACGCGAAAGCTGACAGTTTTTCTTGGACCGGTTTCTATATATCCATCAGAATGCACGAAGGGGAGATCCTCTGTAAACTTGTTGGCGGCGCTCTCTGTTAAATTGATCCGAGCAGCAATTTTGTCGTGGCTGAAGGTTGGATAAAAGATTTGGCGCTTTTGCTTCCATTCTTCACCTTGGAGGAATCCTATACAGCGTCCTAGCAATTGGTCAAGAAACCATCCCATATTCGAGTGTTTTCCATGTTTCTCTCCATCTGAAGAAAAGATTCGGAGGTCCTCAGGTGTCGTGATTACACTAGGGTAAATGAAATGTATCTGTTAGCGAAGTGGTTGTGAAGTTTGCACTCCACGAAAGACGAGAAGTCGAGGAAGCTACTATGAGGCCGAAGACCAAATATTGAAAACAGAACCATGTGAGATAGGCTAATGCAATGAAGAAAAATAGGGAACACTTACATTTCGGGAGAACAGCCTCCCCAAACGCGATATACGTTGCCGAATTTCTTTATCCATTCGTCAGACTTGGCACGTCCATTTACGAATTTGTCGAATATTTGGCCATTTGGAAACTGCCATTTGGGGCCCGAAATTTGTTTTCCCTGCGATAAAGTACCCGAATAGAGTTTTGAAAGGACGTTGTGTACCACGGTCTTTGAAGCAGATTAGCGAGTTACGCGGTTCGCCAAGATGCATCATGGCGCTCTCAGTTCACTCGCCTCTAATACGAACAGTCCAAACTTTCGAATGATGATGTACAGCAGAATTGGAAGACATGCGAGGATACCATGTCTAATTAGAGATTGTTGAAGATGCTCCATTGCGTATCTGAACTAATCGGTGGGCAATTTTCTGAGGAAACTTTTGGATCGATATACCAAGAGTCATTTCACCCTGTGGGCTTGACCAGAGCAAGAGTATAATATTGACAGTTAACGCTACGACCTTGGGGAACGACAAAGGACCGTGGATGCCGGATACATTGGAAAGAAGGGTTGAGATGTGTTTGCCTCTCGGCAATTTTTCGCGTAGTATCTCTGCGTGGATGTGTGTGATAAAGGCCGAAGCCTTTATTCCACACCGCGACGCTTGAGCTATATATCCCGAACGGGCAATATGCACCGGCGGATGCGGGGTCTAACAAATTGGTGATGTTATGACAAATGGAGACGCAGCATTAAAGCTACGTGTCAACATACATGCCGGATAGTTTTGTCAAATCTGGTTGTAGGCTCCGTGGCGCTGTTTATGTGAGGGCACATGGGAACAGGCCCCGGGTGAGTTAGAGCCTCGACATTTTAACATTAAAGTCTATTTCATCTTACAGTCGAAGACGATTAGATATTCTCAAAAGCGAGGCCGAAAACGCAAGACCGGGCCCTCCTTGTGGCCGGTTACATGATCCTGGAGCATGTACTCAGGTGGCTCTGCATCGCTAGACTCTAACCACGACTTTCCAACGTCAGCCCTGCAAAGGTCAAACTCCCACAAGATGCGGGCAAATGTCAACATGATCTGGGCCAGGGCAAGGGGCTTCCCGACGCAGCTACGCGGTCCAATATTGAACGGGAAGTATGGCTGGCCAGCGCTCTTGGTTTCTTTGTCGAGCCAGCGCTCGGGAGTGTAGCTATCGGGATTGGGCCAGTTTCGAGGGCTGCGGTGCATGGCGTAAATGCCCGCGCCGACCTCGCAACCGGCCGGCAGATACTCGCCGTCGATGCGCGCCCCGCCCCGCTCCATCTCGCGCCAAAGAGGTCCGCCACCCGGAGGCGTGATGCGCAGTGCTTCGTCAAGACAGGCTCGAAGAAAGACACACGAGTTCAGTTTGGCCCCAAAGGTTATCTCGTCGGCGCAGCTGAATCTTGCCCGCACCTCCTCTACCGCGCGCTTGTAGCATCGCGGCGACCACACCAAATAATGTGCTAGAGACGCCATCGTTGTTGATGTCGTGTCGGAGCCTACGACGGCGTTACAAGACTATCCCCAAGTAGACATGGGACTATCGTCTTACCAGCCACAATGAATGTTGCCGTCTCGGTGCTAATCTCCATGGCGCCGAGACCTTCGCCTGTTTGTGCATCTTTGCACTGCTGCAGGAAGGAAAATATATCCTTGATACCATCTGCCGGCTCCTGTTGGAGCCGCTTCTGCAAGAGTTTGCGCAGAAACTTGACAAACCTCGCTCCGGCCTTTGCCGCACCAGAAAAAAGCTTGCGGTCCAGCCCTGCCAAAGTCAATTCTGGTGCCTGCATCAGCACGCCCAGCCTCACGTTTGACTGCTCGATGGCTTCCCCCACGTATCGGAAGGACGCTTCTTCCATTGTGCGATATTCTGCCCCGAAAGTCACAGCTGTCATAAGGTCAAAAGAAAGGTGGGTGACTGTAATGCAAGCCCGGTACCGTGTCAGAGGGCACAGGAAAGCTAAAGAACGTGACCGACTTGGGAACTTACACGAACGTGCCATATCAACCGGACTGGTCCACCCATCGCCCACAGACTCCGGTTCTTGGGGTACCCGGCTGCGAATGAGCTTGCAAAACCTTTCAATTCTCGACTGAATTATCGGTTCTAATCTCCTCAAGTTATTTTCCGAAAAGGCTAGGCTTAGTATCCTTCTGCGATGCGCGTGTTGCACCTTGTCTGACATGGTCAGAGTGTTGGCGGCCTGCGACGACAAGGCCTGATATCCTGCGTATTTGCGCACGTTTGACCCATGGCCATAGATGTCTGCCATAACGAGCGTAGTAAGCAAGTTGCGATGCACCATGGTACCGAAGAAACGCTGTAACTCACCACGAAGTCCTCCTGCCGTATTCACCAGGACGCGGTTTGGTGCGTAACGTACATGATCCCCTTTAACCAACTATGAGCCTCGACCGATCACGTCTTCCTGAAGTTATAACGGAGCACTAACCGTATCTCTGGTGGCAATAAAGTATATCGCGATGTATGTCGCCTCTCCACGCATGATATGCGCCGTAGAGGTTGGTGAATTTGGCCAGCACAGGCCCTGGGTACTTGGCTAGGGGATGGAACCATACCGTGCAAACAATCCGGAAAACAATCTTGTGTTACAACATTAGTGTCAGCGAGAACAAAACAATGGGTTAGAAACACAAGACAAGAATTATACATGTTTCGTACGTCATTGTGTGTATACTTACAAAGATGACGCAGCCAGCCAACCCTAAAAATATGGCTGGGCCAGCTGTCCCTGCGTTTTTCAGCAACCCCATATCAGAAAGCCGGACTAGACGATGGCGTGCGATCCGAAATTCCTGACAGACTTAACACTCAAGGTGCAAACCCACAACTGCATCAAATGTAAATATATCTATTCAATCAAGTACGTATGAAACCTGCGGATGAAAGTTAAGAGCCCAAGCGACAAGCCTGACCATGACTATTCCGGGATCATCGACGACGGGGAATTCTAATTATCTAATATTTCAAAGTAAGGAAATACCCCGTCAAACACCCACGGCCCCAAAAATGAAAGGCCGTTTTAGAAAAGCCCAGAAGCTTCATTATTCCGGGGCATATGGCATCGGCCACATTGCATTGGAGGCAAGTTACATCAAGACCAGGGGCAAGTCACAGCGTAAAGAGCGAATGTCATGACCGAATGGTGCAGAGCTCAGGGTTTCACTTGTTTGGCCCCGGCTGGTGGCCGAAAAATAGTCGCCGAGAAAAGTCACTATTACTTCGGCGATTACTACAAGACGGTATGTCACGGACGGGATGAATGAGCCTTCAAACCTTGGTACGTGTAGCTATAACCTTGACACTTTGAGGCAGACTCAAGTGCTTCATGGGGACCAGTCCATTTCCCGCTATTAGACCCACGTTATCATATCGTATTAATTGGAGCTTTAGCATTACACTGGTCGTTGGGGCTTCTCAAGAAGGCCGTGGGTCGCGGGTCTTCTATGCGCCGGATGTTACACGGGACTGGAGGAAAGCCCAACAAGATTGTGAGCTCAACAAAGAGGCACTCCCATCGAGGACTTGTTGGTTCCACAACTAGAACACGTGCTAAGGGCCCTAGACACGAGCGTTTCTTTCATGTATATAGTGGTCTAGTCACATCCCTCTATGGTCACACCGGTCGAGCTACCCGAATTACAGCCCTTACTCACCAACCTACGTTTTCCGTATCAGGCAATGTACTATAAATGATTGCTAGTCTGTCCATACTTCAGTACTATTTGACTGCAAACTCCGGAGGCGCAGTGGTCGACACCGTCTCTGTGCAACGTATCAGTTTTACCCCGTCTTAAAGCTTAAGACTCAGTCAGTTGATAAAGGGGCAGCGGCAAATCTTTCTTTTCGTCGACGTACAATCCAAGTGTCTCCAACATCCAACATTGAATGTCACGTATGGGCTTGGCTCTGCTGTACCACCAAAAGGCCATTCCTTGCTAGCCTTGTCCTGCAACATCGAACCCAAAATCTCAATATGGCGGTTCATAGTCCTAATAATAGGATAGTCGCCCATGAAAAAGCGCAGGAAAACAACGGCGACGGCCAAATATACAGCCATGGCCATGATCCTATGCCTTTCGAACCAGTCGCCATTATTGGTATGGCGATGCGCCTCCCCGGGCGTGTAAGGAATGAAAATGACTTCTGGAATCTTCTTTCCGGCAAGCAAAGCGGGCTTTGTGAAGTCCCTAAAGACCGGTTCAATATTCACGGGTTTTACGATTCATTTGGTCACGTTGGAACCATTCCAATCAACCGGGGATACTTCCTGGAAGACGTGGATATCCAGCAGTTCGACACGACAGTTTTCCCAATACCCAAGGCGGAGCTGGAGCGTCTGGATCCTTCCCAACGGCAACTCCTCCAAGTAGCATATGAATGTTTCGAAAGCGCTGGCATATCTTCGTGGCGTGGTAGCAGTGTTGGATGCTATGTGGGCGAGTTTGGAGAGGACTGGGCTGATGTGAATGCCAAAGAGCCGCAGCACAAGGGTGGTTACCGCGGTACCGGGTTCGGGGATTTTGCCATGAGCAACAGAGTCTCGTATGAGTTTGACCTACGCGGCCCCAGCATGACGGTTAAGACGGCTTGTTCGTCATCGCTGGTTTGCCTTGATCTCGCATGCCTCGCAATCCGGAATGGCGAGTGCGATAGTGCGCTCGTGGGAGGCACTAGCTTGATGTTCTCGCCAACTACATGGATAGCCCTCAATGACAAGCGCCCTCACCAGCAGAAGTGATAGGGATGCAGACGAGGAAGAGATCCCTCTAATCACACAGATTGATTGGATGCCTCACAGCGACTTCGCAGATCTGGGGAGCCGTTTCCGTCGGCCGGCACCGCGCGTAATGGAATGGCCACTGCTGGAGGAACTCACTCTCCTCTGCATGCTCGACCACGATGAGGGCATCGAGACCAACGGCAACACTGCGGAGCACCTCATCAAATTCTCAGTTTGGATGCAGCAGCAGATTGAGAACTATAAGCAGGGGACCAACAAGTTCGTAGACAAAAACAAGCGCCTAGAGAAGAAGAGTGCAGAACAAAGACTTGAGCGTATCAAGGAAATCCTGGCTATGCTCTCTTCATCGCCATATGCTATCTTCACAAAGGCAATTGGTAAGCTCTTCTCAGTAGCACCAGCCATTTTCAGCGGCGAGACACACCCTTTGCACATTCTTCTAGAGGACAACGTGCTCGCTGAATTCTACGACGCACTCTCAATGGACTCGGCCGACCTTCTCGAGCTCTTGGCCAACACCAACCCACACATGCGTATCCTCGAGGTCGGCGCCGGCACAGGAGGAACAACAGCGCGAGTTCTGCGAGCACTTACGTCGTCGTATGGAGAATGCCTCTATAGCGTCTACACGTACACCGATGTATCAGCCGGGTTTATACCTGCTGCTAAGCAAAGGTTTGCTAACCATGAGAAAATTGAGTATGCCGTTTTGAACGTTGCAGCAGACCCAGCTGAGCAAGGCTTCCAGCCGGGCAGCTACGACTTGATTATCGCCGCGAACGTAGGTTCATATTATTTTCACCCCCTCGCCAGATGCCCATGTTTGCAACCCTGCTGACTTTGTCATGTTATTAGGTTATCCATGCCACCCCATACTTGCATGAGACTCTCGGAAACATGCGTACCCTTCTCAGGCCGGGGGGGCGGCTATTCTTGGAAGAACTCTGTCCTGGTGAGTGTACCCTGTTGCGACAACATCCCCCTCGATACCAAGGACCACCGACAACCGGCGGCAACGCAACACTGATACTGATACCTACTTAATCACTTCAGATGTAATGATCTTTAATTATGTCATGGTGAGCACACTACATATTAGTCCATTGCACTTACAGAACATGAATAGTAATCTTAATCTTATTCAGGGATTCCTCCAGGGCTGGTGGCTCGGGGCCCATGACAACCGCGTGAATCAGCCGTACATTTCGCCAGAAAGGTGGACCAAGGAGTTGCTTCATGCCGGTTTTTCGAAGCCTGAAGTTATCGTCCTTGATGATTCAGCGCCATATCATGTCAACACTGGCATCATAGTAACCCGTGAGAGCCGAAACACGAGTCTATTGCCAGTCAGCTTACTGTGCCACTCCCCTAATAGTCCCTGCGTTTCCGAGGTGCATCAATGCCTAGAGTCTCTCGATGTAGCTGTCAATATCTGTCATTTCGGACAAGAGTTACCCTCTCACAACGATATCATTTCACTATTAGACCTCGAGGCGCCTGTACTCCACGAAATGACGGAGCAGACTTTCGACACTATCAAGGAGTATTTGTCCTCGCACAAGGCCAAGATTCTCTGGGTGACACCCGCTTCGCAGGTCGGCGACGTAAAAGATCCACGGGCAGCTATGGTACTTGGTTTCGCCAGGACTGTCCGGAACGAGAGATCCCTCCCATTCTTTACAATTGAAGTTGACGAGACAACGACGTCGGCCGTGGCCACAGCTAGCGCCATATGCAGGATCTTACAGCACGCCGGGTCAGAGCAGCTAAACAATCGTGAATTTATTGACCCCGACTACGAGTATGCCATCATCAAGGGGGAGGTTCTTGTCCCACGACTACACCGGCAAACGATTTCTAAGGCATTTCAATCAACTCAGCTGGGAGATGACTGCGAAACTGACGATTTGATGACTGACAGACACATCACCATGAAGATGCCAGGCCTGCTGCATACCATAACTTGGAGCAAAGGCGAAAGCAGCCGCTCCCCCGCCGAGGGTGATATTGTCGTTGAGACTAGGGCTGTCGGACTAAACTTCCGGGTATGTGTTGTCGATTCCTGGGCTCTTGTCCAACGAGCAATTACTCATTTAGCTTTTACGGACACGAATCCCAATCTCAATCACAAGCCGCATCAAAGTTCTAACTCAGACGGTGCTAGGACGTTCTTATCGCCTTGGGTATCATTGAAAACGGCCCCAGCGAGATGGGATTCGAGGGAAGCGGCGTTGTCCGAGCGGTAGGGCCTGGGGACTCTCGCTTCTCCGTCGGCGATCATGTTATGTATCTCGGAAGCGGGTGCTTCAAGACAATCCACACAGTGAATGCGGCGTTGTGCGTGAAAATGGACGACTCGATGACTTTCGAGCAAGGCGCAGCATTGCCGTGCGTCTACACCACAGCTCTCATGGCGCTGGTGGACAAGGCCGATTTGAAATGTGGCCAGGTGTGTAATAATCCCACGATTTCAACTCAGGCATTGGTTGGCTCTAGATACTTACAAGAGGCTGTGCCGCAGTCTGTCCTCATTCATGCAGCCTGTGGGGGGGTCGGCCTCGCGGCGATACAAATTGCGAAGATGCTTGGTGCTCAGGTGAGTCGCAATCGGTACACAAGGACATGATTACACCTAGACACTACATTATATCTGGTGCCTACTGACACCGGCACAGATATACTGCACCGTGGGGAGCGATGTGAAGCGCAACCATCTCGCAGAAAACTATGGGATTCCACCCTCGCACATATTCAACTCGCGGGACTCATCCTTCCTCCCTGATGTCTTGCGTGCCACAGATGGCAGGGGAGTAGACGTCGTACTCAATTCGCTGTCTGGGGACCTGCTTCAAGCGTCGTGGCAGTGCGTTGCTGAGTTCGGTATTATGGTGGAAATCGGCAAGCGAGACTTTCAACGGCGAGCTACGCTGGCCATGGCACCCTTCGAGGCCAACCGCACCTTTACCGGTCTTGAGCTACGCCTGGTCTTGCAGGCATATCCACACAAGGCCGCCGCTCTCTTGGAGCGCTGTGTCGAATGGATACGTGAGGGACGTATCCGAGGTCCGACCGTCTCCAACATTTTCGAGGCAGTCCAGATCCAGGACGCCTTGCGGACAATGCAGACGGCTAGGCACATTGGCAAGATGGTCATCAAGATGCCCCGTGATGCTCGGGATCTGGATCGGCCGACGATGCACACACCATCATTCCAGTTTCGGTCGGACCGCACCTACCTGTTGGTAGGAGGTCTTGGTGGACTTGGGCGAGCGATGGCCACCTGGATGGTAGAGAATGGCGCGCGATCCCTCGTATTCCTCTCTAGATCTTCTCAAAAGGGGCCCCAAACTGATGGCTTCGTCAAAGAGTTGCACTCGCAGGGCTGTCAAGTGTTGCTGGTTGAAGGGAGTGTCAGCAACAGGGCCGACGTCCAAAGAGCTGTGGATAATGAGGCCACTGCTTCTAGAGCCCTCGCAGGCGTAATCAACCTGGCCATGGTCCTGAGGGACGTGGCGTTTGCCGACATGTCCTTTGAAGACTGGAACACAGCAGTCAAGCCCAAGGTCCGGGGCACGTGGCACTTGCATGAAGCCATCTCAGATAACAAGGAGTTGGAATTCTTCGTCCTCTTGTCTTCTTGCAGTGGCATTGTCGGTCAATGGGGTCAGGCCAACTACGCAGCAGCCAACACCTTTCTGGATGCCTTTGTGCATTTCCGCCATGGCCAAGGGCTCGTTGCCTCCGTCATCGATCTCGGCGTCATGGGCGATGTGGGCTTTGTATCGCAGAACCACGACCTTCTCGAAAACCTCGGCCGGATGGGCATGCGCATCCTACGGGAGCAGAACCTGCTCGACGCACTCGTTTTGGCTCTGAGGGCATCTCGGCCGACTCAAGTGGCAACCGGGCAGTTGGGCTCGCAGCCTGGCAATACATGTATGACATACCGGAGCCCCGGCCAAGTGCTCTTGGGGCTGAACACCACCGTCCCCATCTCATCGCCACTCAGCCGCGTGCCTTGGCGGCGCGACGCGCGTATGAGCATTCACCACAACCTGGAGGTCTTATCCAACAATGGTGGGAAACAGACATCTCCTCTACGCGACTCTCTGCGAGCCAATCTGGCGCCTTTGACGAATAATACGGACCGAACCGCCACTATAGCTTGTGCGCTGACTGCTGCCTTGGCCAATTTTCTTATCAAGGATGAGAACGATATCCCGCTGGACCGACCGCTGGAGCATCTTGGCATTGACTCACTAGTCGCCATGGAAGTGCGTAACTGGATTCGCCAGCAGATCGGCGTGGAATTGAGCACCATTTCCATTGTACAGAGCCCATCACTATTCCACCTAGCCGAGGATATCAGATTGCGTATGGGGAAAACCTCATGATTAGACTGGCCAGAGAATCTATGCTTCCCACTTCCCGTAATGTCGCGCCTGCAAATGCGTGCCTACATTCCCCCTTTATGCTCTTTTGGGTTTGCTTCAAGTGTCTAGGATTCCCTAACCTATAAGTTTGCTAGTAGTTAGCCCTAGGCTGCTGACCCGAATAAGTAGGCAGACTCTCTTTTTCCATAAGACTTCAAATGTTCTCACTTATTGCTTTTGGGGATAGCCAGATCCTAGCGTAGCAACTAGTATGTGCTTGTAACAGTAGCCTGTATTGGGAGCTGTGTATTGGCAATGCTACCCAGGGTATCCCTAGATGCATGACAAGTTATCAAGGCTCCTTTTATTCCTCAAGACACATGCTATAGCGTATCCCGAGGGCATTATCTGTGCTTGCCAGCTTCTATAGCTATCCGCCAAGTCTTGGCGCCTTCTAATATCAGAGACTAATCACGAACATTAAGGGGATAACGCAGGGGCCGCTCCGGACCACCTGGGGCTCCTGGTCAGGCTCGACCTGTGCCCTAGCTATGCCCTCTGGATACATCTGGTATAAAAGGGAGACTCTAAGCCTGTAAGAGTTGGGAGGTTCTCAGCTATGCCGGAGATTCAATGTTGATAGAGTCACGATAACATTAACCAGCTGACACTTAATTAATTATTGATAGCTATCTCGCAGCGAGGATTCCTGCCACATCTCCCGAGTTACTCTGCCATCACAACCACACCCTGATATATTGACGGCAACAAGTCACGCATTTGCCGCCAACGGTTTTTTCCCCACATGTCAACTGCAACTTTCCTCAAGTGCTCGGTCCTCTTTATCACGCAGAGCTAGTGCTGACAGACACCTCGCCTAGAGTCTTGCAGTACCCGCCTAACCAACTTGAATACTAATTTGGATCCGATTCGATAGTCGCTTAGACCCCGAAACACCCAGGTGCCATGTGAGCCCCACTGCGGCAGCCAACAATCCAGCACGGACCTGCGGGGTGTTTCAGGTACTGACTGGTTCTTGTTATTAAATAGAGTTAATAACCTAATAGTCGTGTGTTTAAACAGGTAAACAGGCTTGAAAGATAATAAAACAGGTTTTTTTCCTACCTTGCAGACGCAATTAGCTTTTAATAGCGTCTGGTAGATCTAGCTCTAAAAGTTGTTCATTTTTATATCAACATATCGTAACAACTCTTGCCGTGAACGCTTGAGCTCTGCTCTAGAATTCGTATATATCTCTACCTACCCCGATAGTCTCGACCTTTCTAATTTCTATTTAATATCTTTTTGTGTGTTATTCTTATTATCCTGCATTCTTTTTTATTGTGATTCGAAGATCAGTCAAAGCCGTCTTATTGGGTGTCAAACGTTTCAACTCTATTATTTTCTGGCATCGACTTTGCAACTTCGGCTCCACCCGCATCAGGCCCTACAGATTATCGCATATTAGCCATGTTGGTAAAGGCAGTAACTATCGTCACCGCCTACATTCTCGGCGCTACTGCATTTGCACCTTCCCGGTTTGACCGGCGATCGCCCTCACCATGCTCAGGCAACACCCCTGCAGATCGGTCGGCATGGTGCTCTTACTCTATAAAGACGGATTATACTCGTGAGGTTCCGGATACGGGTGTAACCAGGGAGTATTGGCTGGATATCGTGGATATCATCGCTGCGCCGGACGGAGTGTCGAGGCCAGCCATGGGTACTTCGCCTCGACTTGAGCTAGTTGTGATTTTTCGCTGACGTCTTGTTAGCTGCAAACGGTACTATCCCTGGGCCTACCCTTTTCGCAGATTGGGGCGACACCGTCATCGTTCATGTAAAGAACTCTCTTCATACCTCCAAGAATGGCACAAGCATACACTTTCACGGTATACGTCAACTATTTAACAACCAAAACGACGGAGTAGTTTCCATGACACAGTGTCCTACACCAGTCAACGACACTATAACCTATACTTGGAGGGCGATGCAGTATGGGTCTACTTGGTACCATTCACATTTCGGGCTACAAGCGTGGGAAGGAGTATTTGGCGGCATCGTTATTAATGGTCCTGCAACAGCAAATTATGACGAGGACTTGGGCCCGCTCTTCCTGAACGACTGGGATCATGCCACCGCAAACCAGCGTTCTACTGTTCACAGGACCGACTTTCTCACCCCGCCGCTAGGGACGGGCTTGATTAACGGCACCAACACATACGGTAATACTGGCCAGCGCCTCAACATCCGCTTCGAAGCGAATAAGACGTACCGCCTGCGGTTAGTCAACGCTGCCATTATCTCACATTTCAAGTTCATGATAGACAACCATGATATGACAATTATAGCTCACGATCTTGTTCCCGTGAAGCCTTATACTGTTAAAATCCTAGACATAACCATGGGTCAACGATATGATATCTTGGTCACCGCCAATCAAGCTGCTACGGCACGGCAGTTTTGGATGCGGTCTATACCTCTCGGGTTATGTGGCGATCCAAACTGGAAGTTTAATGACATTCGGGCTATTGTGCATTATGACGACAACTGGACGCAACCATCCACCTTGCCCTATTTTTATTCTCAACTATGCGGCGACCAAACTATGAATGCTGTGCCGTACATTGCAGAAAACGTGCAGCAACCAGATGTGAGCGTCTCTGAGACTACAAGCTTTGACAAAATAGATGGAATTTGGTACTGGACCTTAAAGGACGCCCCAATGCTGATCGATTGGCATGATCCAACACTGAGCAAGATACTGCGCCACGAAACTACTTTTCAGAAAAACGACTCGGTTATCGAGCTGCCCGAGGCTAACAAGACGTTTTACTTGGTTATCAAGAACCCTTTGTTTGTAGCTCATCCTATCCATTTACATGGGCACGACTTCTTTGTGCTTGGTCAAGGTGTTGGGCCCTACTTGCCCGGTATTTCGCCTCTAAAAACCAAGAACCCCCCGAGGCGAGACACTGCTCTCCTTCCCGGATCGGGCTACCTTGTTATTGGTTTTGTTACAGATAATCCCGGTGTATGGCTCATGCATTGTCATATCGGATACCACGTCGACATGGGATTTTCACTTCAGATTATTGAGCGTGCTAATGAAATACCTGCTATTATCAATCAAGACGAGCTCAATGCAGGTTGTGCCGCTTGGTCATCGTTCCAGCAAAGTAATAATATAATTCAAGACGATTCTGGTGTTTAACAAGTAGCTAGTTGGATATTTTATAGCTATTTAATAAACCTAAAAATGTATTTTTATTGGAAAGAACTAATCCACGTAGAGCCCCTTTTTCTAATACAGAAAGACTAATATTTTCTAATAATAGGAGGAAATTCTGTTTTTACTATTAAAGCCGCTTAAAAGTTAGCTTCTTTCATTAGGCGTTATATTCTTATAGCGTTTCTCTTATAAATAACCGTCCTTGTCGTGCAACTAGTAATAACATCGTAAATACGTGATATCTTATTAGCGATAAATAGAATAATAATAAAATATAAGCTTTAATTAATACGCTATTTAATTTAGCTAAATACTAGCTATTAAGGGTTATTTTTTAAGATAAGGGTTATAATAAAAAAGAGAAAAATACTTTATAAAATATTATAAAGGTTATAATTATTACTTATTATATTATAATTAATAAAGCTTTATTTTTACTAATACTAAAGTCTTTAAGCTACTATTATCGGCGTATATAAGCTTAGGTATTACAAGACAGGGCTATAATTATACTATTAAAATTAAAGTAGAAGCTTAGGTCCCAGTAAATAAACTATGCCGGCTAGTCTTATTAGCTTTATATCCATCAACAAACGCCGCGAGAGCAGATGCAGCAGCAAGTTCTGACAACCCCTTAAGAGGCGAACGGGATAGTCGCCGAGTTACTTCCCAGGAAGGTCAAGTTCCACCAGACGAGAGTGAGCCGGAACTAAAAGAGGCGATCTGTTCGCCTCCCCCCAACTTGCCGGCGCCGACACCACGGGGCGCAGCGCGGTCGAATTCGTGCAGGACGAGGGCGTTTACAGCCGATGTGCCGTGTACGGGGCCGCATATTAGTCTGGTGTTACACGGACAGCTAAGATGACATGTTTAGGTGGCTATAGTAACAGCTGCGCTGAAAAGGACGGGGTGTAGGTATAGGAAGCCCGTATTATTATTTACAGGCAGTATAAATTTAGCGTTAACCTTAATAACTATTTAAATATATTTAAGAAAGCGCTTATTAGGGACTTCTGGAAGAAGCACTATAGCCGCCGAGTTACGGAGCTATACAGCGTGCGCCAGGAGTCTGAATACATTAAGTCTGGTGGATTGTATGTGCCGCCTTGTTGTTGGTCCAGTTAAACGCCTTCAGCCGCTCGTAGCATTACTGGCTGTAATTGAGGCCCGGAGCTAGCCTATGCACTCTTATGGATTAATACGTTTTGGACTAGCCGCGGTTAACCCTAGGTATATGCTTATATTAAATAATATATATTAATATGCCTATTAATTTTAAGTAGGTTTATAAGCTTTATTATTAACTAATTTAAGTTAGCTAACTTAAGGGGAAATATACTTATTTTTATATTAAAGGCTAAATAAGTTTAAGGTTTTATAATAATAAAAAAGAAAATAAAAAAAAAATAAAGAAATAAAAGGGTTTCTTTAAAAAGCCTTAAATATATAAAATTATACTAAGATATATATTTATAAAAAAGAGGCTAGTATATACAAATATATGCCTGACATGTAATGTCAACTAGCATCGGCGGTAAAGTTATATCGGCGATTATACCACCGATCAAACCTGTTAGTCCCCTTTTTTAAGGGCAAGAGAACCTAGCAATACCAAAAACGTCGTTTCTTGTAAAAAGGAGGATAGCGGAAAAGTTGGTGATGGCATTACAGCTGTGTTGGACTAGGGTGCATGACCTGCACTGGGGATTACTTTATCCCATAACTAAAGGTGCATTGTTAAAATACTACAGATTATATTAGCGGGAGTGTGTGCGTCTTAAGCTGGGTACATTTTAATATAGTTTGTCCTAAATAATAGCACCACGATAGGGCATTTCTCATTCTCTTCCCCTCTCGTAACACAGCATATAAAGTGATGGACAGGTTCGTCGAGAAAAATACAATCGCATGTTCGCTTCTCAGACTACTGTCAAAGTAATTTAATAGAAAACCATCGACTCATTTAGCAAGCTTTTATTGTTCCCCCTCGGTGCGGCACTAATTCCCATGCCACTTCCCATGGACACGAATAGGAACCCCTTAAATTAGAGAAGTTATCCTCTGATGAACAGGAAACTCGATGAGAACAGGACCTTCCATGCTGAGCGCCTTGCTAAAGCACGACTGTAATTCCTCCTCTGTCTCTGCACGAAATGCCGCACAGCCATAGGCTTTCGCAACGGCACTGGCATCCAGCCCAGGCAAGTCCAAAGCAGGCACATTGGGCGTCTGTTCCAATATAGCAAACTGCTTCAAGATGGCATACTGCTGATTAACAGGGACCAAAAAGACAAGCTTGACGCTGTGCTGGACGGCGGTATAAATGCTCTGCACCGAGTAATGTAGACTTCCATCGCCGATGGCGAGTATAGTTGGTCGTCCAGTGGCCTTGAACTTTTGTGCCAGGGCGATGCCCACGGCTGCCGGTGCGTTCCAGCCAAGACCACCGCTGGCAAAGGTAAAGTATGATTCTGCCTGCTCTGCCGGCCAGACTTGTACAAGCTCCATGCCGTTGGACGGAGACTCTTGTACAAGGATGGCATTGGGCGGTCGCAGCTTGGCAACCGACGACCATGCTTCCATGGCCGACATTCCTGGCGCTGTTGGGACCTCGTGAGACGGCACTGCTGCTGGTTTTACCTGCCAAGGGGGCGCAGAAAATTGCGGCGGGCGATTCTGATAAAGCAGTGCGTACAGACCTTCCAGTGCCAAGTTGGCGTCGGAAAGCAGGCTATCGCCTACCAAGGCCGTCGCGGCATCATGAGGGTCGTTGGTGACGTGCAGGACCTTGAGGCCGTCCGGAACAGTGCGGCCAGGAATATAGGGGTAGTATCTCCAGACTTCGGCGCCTACCACAAAGACAACATCAAACCCTTGCAGTGCCTTGGCGAGGGGTCCCTTGGCCATGGGGAGTGAGCCGCAGAATAGCCTGTGTCTCTCTGGGAATACAGCTCGCTCGGATAGAGGAGCCTGAAAAACGGGCGAATTGAGAAACTCTGCCAGCTTCACGGCAGCCTCCCAACCCAAGCTCCGATCAACTTCTTGGCCTAGAATCAGCGCGAAGCTGCTGGCTTTCTGGATACGACTTGCAAACAGAGAAAGACTCTTGGGATCCGGCGCTATCCTGGTGGACACGGTTCTGACTGCCGGAATGGATGGCATGGGGGCATCCCAGTCGTCCATGGGGATGGACAGATAGACAGGGCCAGCTGGTGGCATGGTGGCCGTTGCGATTGCTCTGATCAAGGCTGCAGGGACGTCTTGTGCGCGGTCTGGCTGGAATGACCACTTGACCCATGGCTTTGGCATCGTTGCCGCGTCTCTGTTTGTGAGCATGGGCTCTCCGATGAGCATATCCCGAGTTTGCTGTCCTGCGATGATTACGAGTGGCGTTTTGTTGAGAAACGCTGTCATGATGTTGCCCATTCCGTTGCCAGTGCCTGCCGAGGTATGCAGGCTGACAAGCACGGGTTTGCGAGTTGCCTGTGAGAATCCGTCAGCCATCGCGACCACCGTGGCTTCCTAGAGGCCGAGTATGTAGTCAAAGTCTTATGGAAAGTTTTTTAGTATAGGCTGTTCGGTGGAGCTGGGATTCCTGAATATAGTCTTTATGTCATATTCACGAAGAAGGCTATAGAAAGCATGCCACACGGTCTTGTCCTTTGGAGAGTCCATTTTGATTGACCAAGTATCGCGTCTTGTGTGGCTATAAAGGCTTGTATAGGGTGTACGGGTGATAAGGACGCAAGTTAATACTTTATAACTGCTTTTTATACCGCGTCATGTCGCTTCAGCAATTTAGTCAAGCCTTTTCCTCTTAGAATAGCCTTTATATGTAGTGGCCAAGGTTTGAGACGCAGTGAGACCACCCGGTCTTTTAATTGTATGCTCTTGTCCTTCCCCGCTCTGTGGCTGGAAGCTCATGCTTCCTTAGCCCTTTGGCGTTGTTGGGCAAGCGGTAATTCCCCACCCCCCTAATTCTCTCGGCATTAAGGCAAAGATTGAGCCCCGGAAAAGTATACACGTCTACTTAGATTAAGGCTATAGGAGCAAAAAAAAAAAAAAACTAAAAACTATTTGCAGACCATAATATTATTGGCTCTATAGTATGCACTATAGTGCGAGCAACACTATCAAGAAACAAGGCAACGTGCGCTGAGCATCCTGAACGTCTCCGGTTTTTAAATACCTTGGCCATAACCCTACTCACCTATGCAGGTTTAATTAGTTGAAAGTTAATTCCGTAGAGGCGCCTGATCTATCTCTCAGGCTATGTCCTAAGTTAATAAG